GTGCACTGAAATAAGACATTTTGCTCTAAATTGGATAGTAATAATGTAGAAAAATATTCATACAATGGAGTTTCTTTGATTTTACAAGACACAACTTTTCCTCCTCCTCCTCCTCCTCTTTCAATTTTATGTTTAAACATCATTTTTGAAAATACCTGCTTTTAAAGAGTGGTCCATACCTTTGAGTCATAGTTTACTGAACACTGAAGACATAGAAACTAGTGTCTCTGAATTTTTCTATTCCAATACTGGCACATAATTTCTGCCAACTGTTTTCTTGGATTTCTTCAATAGGTGGTTATAAATCAGGTTTATGACGAGGAATCTCTCTTGAATTGTGCATTTTTAATGGATTTATGATAAAGCCATCAAAGCGGAGGGTCCATATGGTAGGAATGCAGTAAAGGTAACAGGACAGTGTCATGTAAACATTAAATACAGTGCCTTCTACCTTCATAAATCCTTGATGCTCATGATTAAATGCTGCCGGTTATAAATTATGCAACCAAATTCTAGAAACAGCTACAACTTAAATAAGACACCAATGGAAGCCATAAATTGTCTTTGAGTTTTTTTCCCAGAAAACTCTGGTGTATTTGTTAGGAAACAATATCAGAGTCCCTACTTTCCTCAGCTATTGTCTTATACTTTATTAAATTTCCTAAAATAAGCTGTAATCCTGATTAGAACATAACAACATGAACGATTAATCCTAGACAAAATCTATTATTTTTATGTTCTGAAGTATCTTTTTGATTTGCAGACTCATTTTAAAAGCATTCTTCAGATAAGTAGCTTTGGGTCTCAATGTGTTGCCCTTCTTAGAGTCATATAATAGAAGTTCATGCAACAACCCAATTTCCCACAGGTATTTACAATCATATTATTTTATTACACATGGGAACAATTAAACATTTGGCCCTCAGCTGTAAACAATTACTATACAAAATGACATTCATAGATTTTTCTTAAATAGTCATGTATTCCTAATGACCTCTGTTAACATAAGTGAGATTGATGCATGTGTACCTTATGTGTGTCCAGAAGCAACTGTATTCCCAAATACAGCATCAAGAGATCGACTTCACCTAGACCGTGCACTAATATTGCCTGTAATCGTGTGGCTACCTGCAATGGTTATCTTTAACATATTTGTTTCTGTTCTACTGTTATTTTACTTTCATTCCAATTTAATTTTAAAAACTACTAGAGCTCACAGCAAAAAGCAAGTAAAATTTTGTCTAATATGTTTTTTTTTTGAGATGTGGGCTAGATCTAATAAATCAATATTAATGTTGCAGGGAGCAGAGAGGAATAGTATATATGGACAGATAAGCATATAGGCTTAGGCTTATATTCTGGTTCTGTCAATTTCTAGATGATTAACCTTGGACAATTTACTTTTTCCAACTTTAGTTTTCATGTTTGAAAAATATGGACAGTTATATCTATATCCTCAGACTACTGAAATTATTAAATGAAATATGTGTTTAAAGAGATGGGGCACCTACCATATACTCAGGTCATATTAATTTCTCTATTGTCTCCCATACCTTTTTCTCAGAAAAGTACATAAGCTCTGGGCTATTTGGGGTATATCCATTCTTAGTTGTCTCAAGTTTGGAGATACATTTTCCTTTCACTAGATCCCTCTTTTCTTCAAGTGACAACTATGAGAGCAGCTCACAGCTGTTTTCCTTATATTAAGAAAGAAGGCAGTCATTCCCAGTTGCAAGGGTACCTAACAGCTGTATGCAGCCTTTCCAGAAGGCCAGACCTGGATCTGAGTGGTAATGTTTCAAGGGCAAAGCTCTAGATGTAAAGAATGATAAACCAAAACCTAAATGAGCCTGCACATATCTAATGACAGATACACCACAGCTATTCTAAATTATTCAAGCTTTCTCAGACTTCTAGAAGGAGAAACAATTCATTTCTGCTCTCTTTTTCTACTCCCATAAAATGGTAAAGAGCAAAATTACATCCCCTCCTAAGAAAAGAAATTATAATATTCACCCAAATAGAGAGGAGTTTCCTTAGCACACATAGTATTTTTAGAACCATCAAATTTCTGGGAACTAGCTTTGGAGATACAAGTTAAAAATGATTTTGCAATACTTCTGGGTGGTTTCCTTATTTCCCTTTTGTTACCATTTTACTGGCAAAAAGCCAGTAAAATAGTTGTTTAATTACCCAGGACATCACAAACATATAACCTGTTACTGTATTTTAGTAACAATAATACTAGGGTCAAAAATAACCAAAAAAAAATTATCTTCAAATAAGCAAACCTCAAAAGAAGAGCATTGTGTATTGAGATAATTAATAACTTGTTTAGGAAAATGTTACTGAAATGTGGTTTTTGGACAAGGAACTGACACTCTTCAGGGGTTAGATATCCTAATATTTAACAGGCTGACTGACTGGCTTCCCTGTGGGCATGGCAAAAGTTTGTTCACATGTAATTATGCAACATTTAGACAATATCTTAATGATACCATGTAGTTCAGCTGAATCAGTCCAGCTGGAAATTGTAGCAGCATTCTGATTAGTGGACCACATGTGAAATTAAGGCTTTTTCAACCTGTACCTTTTACTTGCTAGGTTTTGACACACAAGTTCTTGGAAAGCTTGAATTATTTATAGTTTGCCAATATTTAGAAGTATAACCCCTCCCCTTTTACTTTTAAACATTAATTAAAACTGTTACTATTTAATATTTAGCTTATTATTTTTCAAAAAAGAATGATTAGTAATTAGTACACAATCATTCAGGAGAGGTGTCAGTATATTTTGTACAGGTAGGATAAAAATTTGCCATGCTTGTTTATATAATAAATGTTATAAACTTTTCTCTGTCCAGAGAGTCCATACTGTAAAAATAAAATTCAATTTATTTGTGGAAATCATTTTACAAAATAGTTTACCACTCAGGATTACCTACTATTTTTGATAATAGAAATGTAACTTGAATAAAATAAAAATAATGTAGTTTTCTTAGCATCACATCATAAAGACAATTAAAATATAGCAAGGACAAATCAAGTTATTATCATTTTTTAAGAAAGAAGAAAGCTTGCTTAAGGTAAACACTCTGAAATTTTATTTCTTTGAGTTCTCCCCCATGAGCCAAAAATACATAGAAATTCAGTCCATTGGAATTTAGGAAAAAAAAAAAATCCTCAGCTTACTCTGTCCAACTCTGTGTTTGGTTAGACAGCTTCTTCCCCCTCCTCTTAACTGGATGCCACCACATTATTTTGCTTCAGAAGTAAACAAAAATACTGTATTTTTAGTCAATAACTATAAAATCATACATAGTATCTAGGAAATTCAGATAACAAATGACTTTCAAGCAAAAACAATCATCATTAATGACATTACTCAGCTACTTTTGTTGAGTCAAAATGAAAAATACTTTAAGAATATTTAATCACTTGTAAACATATTTCTGATTTTAGAAAATAGAAGCCGTACTTGAGGAGAAACAGGATTTATGTTGAATATGTATGAGACCTAGAGGAAGAAAACTAAGTCTTAACTCATGTAACTCTTTATTTAAAAATAAAATGTTAAATCCTGGCCCACTGTCATTTGCATCAGTAGCTGGTACTTTCTGTGCCAAGAGATCTTGAAATGTGTGACCCATGTATTTAAGTTAACTGACAAATGTGTGCTTAGAATTCCCAAACTATTAAACACAAAAAGGTCCTCTTGAAAGGTGACTTGGAATTTACCATTGAGATAAAGCTAAATAAATGGTCATTAAAGATGTTTAAATGTCATTGTCTACTGTCTTCAGTGTGCCATTACATAGCCTTGGGATCCTTTCAAATAACAATCAATAGAGGATGAATAAGTCTCACCACTTGAAAGTAAGTAGGAAAGGAAGCCAACAGAGTAATCTGGCTTGGCTGGATTGATTCAAGAAGAGACACAATATCCACCCCTTCTCTCTTCATTCTCCCTCCCCCATCCTTCCCACACCCCTGCAATAAAGAAAGAGGGAAAGAAAGAGAAAGAAAAAGGAAAGAAAGAAATCTAAGGATCCCACGCAGAATCAGAGAAGAAAAGATCACTCTATGGGATAAACTATAGCCATGGAAACAGACTTATGACTTTTACTTTGAAAATAAAAGAATGACAATGAAATTTGTGTGAGGTCTGTGTGAATCCAGTCCCAGATGTTTACAATGCTGTAGTAGTATGGCTCTGCAATATGAGAGGTTTCAGAAGAAACAGTACAACAGGACACCACAAAGCAGCGCATATGCTGTTGACAATGCAGACATGAGCATCATGTTACCAATAGAGAAGGCAGGCAGAAGACAAATAGCAGCGGTGGTGCCTGAAAAACTAACTTCATGGACTGCAATCACCCAAAAACCAACAAGAGGAACCCAAAAGGGGGAAAAAAATCAAAACCAGAAAAGGGCTTTTTGCTCCTATCTAAAGGTGGTGGGTCAAAGGGAGAGGGGTAGGGAGAGAGTGGAAGTGACTTTTCTTTCTTAAATAAAGTTCCCATAAACCCCTATAATTGACAGCGGATAATTATTTTCAGCTTGAGAAGCCTGTCCCAAAACTCTTAAGATTGCCAGGGAAAGGAAACAAAATGTGTTTACTTGAGCCACTTCCAGACGGGAGGGAAAGGGGACTTGGGTGAGGTGGGGAAGGCACTGAGGACAGAAAGGGGCATCTAGGTGCTACAACAACTCTCAGGCGCCCTGCGTGGTCCCGCTAGTGACAAGTTAGAGAGAAGGGGCGGATAGGGTGGCAAGGGGTGGGGGTTGTAGAGGGAGCGCGCCCAGGGGAGGGGATGCAGCAGCACAATGTATACATGGGAGGGGGGGTGATTTAGTGTGAAAGTATTCCACTTAATCATTTTACAGGGGTTGGGGACGTAAATATTTAGTTGGCCACATCTGGAACAGATTTTCCCCCCCGTGTGGGGTGGGGGGGGTGGATAATTGGAAGGAGGGGAGCACGCATTTGTTACTTACTGTACGGGCAGTTCTCCTTCTTGGTACCGCTGACCTTCCCGTTCTTCTCAATCTTGAGAAAGTACTTGGTGAAAGAGAATAGCTTTCTCCAGCGGACATCTCCCTGGAGGTGATTGTAGCTCCGCACATGCCTCCCCGCACTGGAAGGGGAGGAGGAGGAGGAAGAAGAGGAGGAAGAAGAGTTGGTGGCCTCTGGTGACACCATGTCCTGACCAAGAGCTTGGCAGGTGACAGGGACGGAAGACACCAATAACAGCAACAAGAAGCAGCAGCAGCAGCCAGGCAGGTGGGGAAAGGCTGAGGCACAATGTGTCAGTATCCATTTCCACATTGTACTGAAACTCTCGGCACTGGAAATTGTCTCATCAGAAGGAACATACTGGAAGGGTAAGACCCGGTGCAAGGCGAGGAGACAGCTGGAGGTGGTGGCTGCTGGTTAGCTCCCTCTGGGCGCGGATCTGGTCAGAAGTGAATGCACCAACATCCATAACTCCTCGGAAGGGCCGGCTGCCTCTCCTTGCTCCGCTCTCGGATCCGCTGCCTGCGCCTCTAGAGTCTCCGGGTGAATGGTGGACGTGGGTGGCCGCGGCAGCAGGAGCTGGTGGTGGCGGTGGTGGTGTTGGTCACCACAGCTCCCCGCTCCCCCAGGAGTTACTTTGTTCTCTTCTTCACTCCTTTCTTCACCATGTTAGATACAACAAGGGTCTGAAAAACAGATGACAGTGCGGTGAACAAAACCCAAAGAGGGTGGGGTGAGGGGTCGGAGGCGATAGCTGCGCTCCTCTGCGGTTGGCACCTTCGGAGCCCTTTCTGTGGAGTCCCAGCCTGCTGGCCACTTCTAAAAGTGTGTCCCTTCGGGGCTGTCAGAACTGGAGGCAGCTGCACGGTCGCTGTTTTCTTCTCCCTCTTCCTTTCTCTTTTTGGTGGTGCCTGTTGATTTGAAGCCTCCAGAAAGTCACTTCTTGTTTGGGGTGGGTGGGTGCGGGGGGCGGGGGGGATGGCGGCTGGTGTTTGGTTTGGCCCTATCCTCCACCCCCCCTTCCTTTGGAAAGCCCGCTTGTAAACAGGTTGAAGCCCGGAGTCTAAATGTCAGTGAATGCCAGAGGTGGGCTCTGCCTCTGCTGGTCAAACCTCATTTGCAGGGGTGGAGAAGCGGGGGGAGGGGGTCAAACGGCGGTGGGACATCTGAAACCCTCGGCTGCTGGGAACGCCAGGGAGAGGGAGGGAGGAAGGGGCCGAAAGGGGGGAGAGCAGGGGAGCGAGAAGAGAGCGCGATGCCTTTGCACGGAGCTCGGGGGCTGTCGGGTCCTTTCCGCGCCGCCGCCGCCGCCGCCGCGGGCGCAGCCTCCGCGGACGCCTCCAGTTCCCGCTAATTGCTGCGAGGGCGTCCTGTGCTCGCACCGCTGGCGGCTGCTGCTGGATGTCCTCACGCTTTCCGAGTTTTGCTGTCTTCCAGCCCCAACCAATCCCCTCTGGGGAGCCCCTTTCTCACTTGTTTTCCAGCGTAGAATCCCACCCGCCCCCCTTCTTCTTTTGGCAGTGAAATACTTGAGAGCCACCTGGTGCTAGGCTTTTTCTTTCTTTCTTTTTTTTTCCTTTTCTTCTTCTTTCTATCCCCGAAGGGGGGGAGGGCTGGGGAGAGAGCTGAAGATGCTGAGGATAAACCCTCCCAAACAGCAGATGATGAACTGGTCGGAGCGAGCACAGAAAAAGGGAGACCTAATTAGCTTCCTTTCCTCCTCTTCTGCCAGCTCCAAGGAGGTCTCCGCTTTAATGAATTACTGATTTCTCGCTTCCGTTGCCGAAGTAAAAAGTTCACACTTTGGCCCTCTTTGCCTTTTAAACTCAGGGAGATTTATCGTCACTCTTAAAAAGTCTCCTCTTCTCTTGGAGCAAATGAAATCAAGGACCCAAATGACCGATTTCTAATGGCTAACATGAGTCCTTTACTGAATCACGCGTGCACTTCAAAGCGAACGCACTTTATTGAGATCGCAAAGATTTTTTTACCATACAATTTGGCCGAAGACTCTGCTGTTTTCTGTTCTATGCAATTTCCTTTGCACTTGGCCATAATGGGGGCATTTTCTTAAATCTTCAAATTTGATGTTTAAAGGGCTTTATTTTGCGACATTAACTGCACTGCCAGTCTCCCTCTCTTCTCACTCTTCCACTCACTACTCCCCAGCTCCCCCATTGCTCACAGAAACTAGTACATAGCCCAGGTACAGACAGAATTAAGTCCAAGGTTAGGGAGATTTTGCCAAGAGTAAAAAGGCATAAGGAAGATTATACTGTGATAATCCATTCCCATCTGAGTAAGAGACAGTTCCTAGAGGACCACTTGTTTAAGAAATCCTCTAAAGTAGGGAAAGTTTGACTGAATGGAATGCTTTAATATGTATTGGTATGTTATGTCAGGCAGTTGGATCCTGTGTTTTGTTGAGGCATATGAATTGCCAATATTTTACTGCTTTCCACTACAAAACTGGCAATTTCATATATTTTAACCCAGTAGACTATCAACCTAAAATGGAAATATTTCAAGGTGAACTTGGGAGTTCAACTACAGCGGTAATTTGGAAGGAACTAATCAGAAGAGCTTGTATACAAAAGCCAGAATCCCTAAAATGTGCATTTGGCCTCAATCTTTATTGCGAACTGGAGAAAATACAAATGAATTTAGCATTAGAGAAGGTCATTAAATATGATTGCCCAACTTTGTTGTTTAGTGAGTGGAAAATGCCTTTACATGCATGCTCTTATATTTTCCTGTGCTTTCAGAGCTTTGCAATAGACATTTAACATCAGAATCAGGGTTTTAATTATATTATTTATAACTCGTTGAGATGCTTATTCAGAAAATTTCAACAATGTGGTGAACATCACAGATTTTTAAGTTTAATATAATTAGCTCTGATTTCTGTAGCTATTAATTGGAAAGTTGAGTAAATAAAGAGCATACGTCAAACAAGTTGTTCTTTAATTAAAGCATGAATATTGAAAAATGAATCCACAATGCTAATTTTGATTTCCTAGTTCACAGTTTAATACCTGAGCAAACACTTGCATAAAAGAATATACTGTTTCTGAGGGATTTGAGTTTCAGCCCAAGAGTTTAGAGGAATCCAAGTATTTGAATTGACAACTAATTAAAGTAATTGACAACTAATTAAACATTTTTTAAAATTGTCTAATGAAACCATAGAATAAACATTCTGCAGTGAAAAGTTTAAAAGCACAGGAAGTTATTATTTTGGGGTTTCTCTACACTAGGAACCAACACTTTTGATACCATCTTGAGATTTTAATATAACCTAAAACCAGTCTGTCTGTCCCTCTCTTACACACACACACAGGCACACAGACACACATCTACCAACTTTCTGTTCCAATGTAAGTCAGTCAGATCTTTTAGCTGTAAATTTGTTTTCTTCCTGTCTAAAATGGGAAAAATTATATGGTCAAAACTTCCATATTCAAGTATAGCTACAGCAGGTGCAGGGTTTGAAAGTTCTAGAGCCCTTTCCCTGCTCTTCTGCACAGCGTGATGACAGGAAGGGCCTTTACAAAACAGCCCAATGGAAAAGCTGACATAGCTTTTTAGATTATATCTCATTCTTCTTTTTCTCTTCTGTACAGCCTTTCTTTTACAGCACAGTTGAATCCCTAAATACCCCACTACTTTGCATTGTTAGGTCACCTCTTAGGTTAGCCCGAGAAAGCCTGAGAAAAGTTCCACAGGAAAGATGCACTATTTAACGGAATTCAATCTCTCCCAATAGATTTGAATCACTAACATAAATGTATGAATGTAGATTATATCTCTGTAATGAGGCCTGAATCATTCTCAGTTACTTCAAAGGACTGAAATTCTACCTTCCTTTTTTTTAGCAGCAATAATCAGGTCTTAATGGGTTCCTTTATTAATTGTTTCTCTACTAGGATTGAAAAGGACAGTACAAGCTTCTGATTAGAGTGGTACCTACTGATTCTAAAAGGCTGTTTTTCTCTTTTATCCAGTCTCTTGGAAGGCATGCTTTATTCTATGCTTTTTTTTTTTTTGATGCTATTAACATACCCAGTAATATTAGGCTAAATCTTTATTGAGTGAAATAGATGTGGTCTTTTGGTGAATCTGACATTTTGAGAAACTACTGAGGCTTTTTAAAGCAAGACCCTGATGGCAGCCATTTACGAATCCTAAAAAGTGCCTCTTGAATATTAAAAAAAAAAAAAGGCAATCTGTGTGTGTCTTACTAGAACCTTCAGTAGCTATTCTGTTTGATCAGTTTACACTTTAAACATGTATTTACTGGGTTCTTCATGTTGCTCAGCATTATCTGTGGTTCAGTTACAAGATTTGTGTTCTATTATCTATAATGTTATTGGCAGTGTCAGTAAGCTGCTTCAAATAATGCTAAGTCAGGTCAAAAGTCAGTCAGTCTGTTCAACAATTTGGACATATGCATGCCTCATTTTTGAAGTCTGTGGTGCAGCCAGCCCTTAAGAGTATGTGCCCAGCATGTTTTTCCATTTGGATTTAAGAGATGTCAGTGTGAGGACGTGTTTTCTTCCCAGGCTGAGTCTAATAATGAGGTTACAATATAGTATTATTTGGGGCATATTAAACAGGGATATCTGATTATTACTACTTTTAAACTAGGGGCTTCAAGTAAAAGGAAAAGAAGTGTTTCTCCACAGACAATAGTGCAGTACTTTAGAATCAGTGGTAATCTTAGCAATTCAGGTTGACCATCCCTTAACCAAAATGCTTAGGACCAGTAGTGTTTTGGATTTCAGAGTTTTTGAATTTTTGAATATTTGCATATATAGAATGAATATCTTGGGCATGGGACCCAAGTCTAAACATGGAATTCATTATTGTTTCATATACACCTTGTGCACATAGCTGGAAGCTAATTTTATTCAATGTTTTAGTGAGCGTGCGTTCTCACTGCCACCTATCACACGAGGTCAGATGTGATGTCATGTCGGTGCCCAGAAAGTTGGAGATTTTGAAGCGCTTTGCATTTTTGGATTAGAGATGTTCAACCTATAGTTGAATCCAACTGATGCATTTTGTAAATGAATGAACTGATGTCCAGGCAACTTGGTGGTAGAGCAGAGTTTTAAACTCCAGTGACAGACCCAAGGCTGTGACATTAATTTTTTGCAACACCTGTCCTATCTGTTTTCTCTTTTCTCCCTCCTTCTTCTCCTTATCACTGGCTACTCATCACCCTGCCTTACATGCCAGAGTGGATGTGATAAGAAGGGTTAGACTTCAGTTATAGAAAACCAACAATCTTTGCTGCAATAGACTAGCCAGAGAAAAGTAATAAAATAGTGTAGTATAGAATTATTAAGTACCAGCTGACTAGTCAAAATAAAATAAATACTGATGTATGTTTGGCAAATGGGGTTATTTTATATAAAATGAACATACATAAAGAGCAATGCATACCACATATTTTCAGGATTCTTCAAGGATTTTTTTTTAAAAAATCTGAATTTATAAGTTGATGGTACTTTCTTGAAAAATACATGTACAATTCGAATTCAATTTTCTGTTTCCTAATATTAAGTTTTCGTAAAATGTGATATCTTTCAAAGCATATGTATTTCTTAAATAATTTCTTTCAAAATTTGAAACCAGGTAAATTTTCTGTTCCCTCACCTTCAAACAGACTCAATGAAATGTTATTGAGAAGGAAATATGGCCAAGAGGATAAAAAAGATCTTTTGAAAGAAAAAAAAAATCTATATAAGAATGTTGACAATATACTCACAATAAATTAACAAGATTCCTGGAAACTGAACTCTGCATCTTGGTACCAAACACAGCAAACATGTTTCCACCAAGCTGCTGTTTATTCCCTCCCAACTGATGGTAAACAGAACCTTCTCTTGACAAAGTTGTGAAGTCTCTGAAGAGCTTTGTTTGTTTTCTGTGTTCCCAGCTGTCCCTTTGTAGATTGGTGCCTCCTTCCATTTCAAGCCGTCTAGGTTTCTAAGTCCTGTTACATATGTCAAAAATTTAAACCTGATATTAGTTATTTTTGTTTGTGAATTAATTGGCAGATTATAATGTTTTCTTTAAAGTGTTGGTGTTTTGCCACAACAGACATTTTCAATGTGTTCATTTCTTCATCTATTAATTGGTTTTTATTCAAGTCATGCTTGTTGAGTACTTACTACGTGCTAGCTGGACATTGTGAGTGCTGAATGTTTTCACCAATAAATAAAAGAGGGAACAACTTAACCTCTATAGAGCATTCAGGCACACGTGAATGAATGAATGGTTTAGGCACTTCGTCACTAATGATGGGCAAGCTAGGAATATCTTGGGACTCAGAAAGCAGATGGAGAGATTTGGGAGGGAAAAGAAGAGCCCCTGGGAATTCTTTCTGATTGTGCTTCTTTACAAAAAGAGCTAAGAGGAGTTGTAACTTCTAACTGATTTCAGGAAGGACCAAGACTCCATCTTTTCCTGTTGTGAGCTTCTACAGTCACTCACTCCAAGTATCTCCTACAGGTGGGGATTTCGGCCACAACTTTTCTGACAGCT